GAAAAAGGTGCTGACCTCAGTACTCAGGAGTTGTGGCTTCTAGGTCAGAGTCCAGCTGCTTGAAAAGATAATATTCCTCCCTGGTGCTGCCCAGCACAGTGCCTCTACCTGTCACTGGAAATCCCTTTGGCCTTCTCTGATGGGTTCTTATCATGCGTTAAGTAGCATCAAGAATGGGGGAGGGGCGTCAGTGGACCGGAAGGCAAGGGAAGGGAAGGATGGCTACCTGCCTTCAAACATTCAGGGAAGTCAAACAGGGAAGAAGTACTGTTCAGAACCCGTTAGAAGACGCCGGGGTCAGGGTGGGGGGTGGTGAGGCCTCTCACCTCCATAAAGCACTTTCTGCCACTAGAAAGGTCCCCAGAATAACAGCAACTACCACGCGTTGAGCCCTCACTGCGTGCCAGGCACTTGGCTTGCCTGACGCTTTACTGGCATTACCCCTGAATTTCCCCAGCAATCCCAGGAGGGTGGGACTATTCGTATTCCTTATTTCACGACCGGGAAACGCGAGGCTGTCACTGCTTGAGATCACACAGCTAGTAAACGACCGAATCGAGATTCAAACCCAGGGCCCTACTCGGAGCTATTATGCTGCACCGTAGGCTGAGAAGACGACCTACACCCCTGGGAATTCTAAGACTGTGATTCGACAAAACACAAATATAAACATGGGAAAATTTTGTTCTTAGCAAGGACTGGTGTGTGCTCAGCCTGGGGTGGAAAGTAAGGAGTGAGGCTGTAAGAACATCTATTTATTTATCAGATTGGTTCGGGAAGGCTTCCTGAATGTGGCAACTAAAATGTCCCCACACATTTCCAAATGCTCCCTGGTGGACCTGGAAATCCCAGCTGAGAATCTCTTACAAGATCTGCTATCTGCCTGCACCCTCCTACCCTCCCATACCCCACCAGTCTCTCCGACTTTGCCTCAGACGCCTCTCCCTGTGCTCTCTGGGCCCTTGTCTTACTTGAACAACCTGGCAGGGTCCCACCTGGGCCTCTAGCTGTTCGTTCTGCCAGGAATGCCCGTCCCCAGACAGCCGCAGAACTCCCTCCCTGCCCTCCTTCAGGACTTCGCTCAGGTACTCTCTCCCCAGGGCACCCAGTTTGAAAGTGCAGATTGCTTTACTCCGGCTCTCTTCTCTGCTTTTTCTCCGGAGCACTTATCCCATCAGATGCACTGTAAGTTTTCACTAGTGACCTTGTTTGTCTGTAAGCTTCATGAAGGAATTTGGGAGTTTTTCTGTTCACTGCTATACCCCAGGGCCTAGAATAGTAACTGGCACACAGCAGACAATATTTGTTAAGTGAAAGGAAGAATACAGATGCCAGGAAAATATATACTTACAGAGAGAAGAAAACAAGCTTTTCTAAGCCACAAGAATAAAGAATTAATTTTGTTCTTAGCAAGGACTGGTGTGTGCTCAGCCTGGGGTGGAAAGTAAGGAGTGAGGCTGTAATAACATCTATTTATTTATCAGATTGGTTCGGGAAGGCTTCCTGAAATTGGTGGGGTTGTAGGACTCACCTTCAGCTGGCTTTGAGCCAGATGATAATACCCTGATGGTTCCCCCAAGCTTGATGACTGCTGATAACAAAGGGAGCCCCGGGAAACAAAAGTGAGCCAAGCTGGAGTTTTCAGACTGAGCAGCACACTCACGGAATCGTATTTCGGCTGCACCTGCCATGTCTGTAAGAGGCTGCAGCAGCACGTCAGCCGGAGGGGCAAGTTCAAATGGAGCTGCACAATAATACCTGCTTCCTCCCGTCTCTGGCCCTGAGAAAGCCCACCTTAAATAATTACTTGCCTTCCAAAACTCTCAGCAGACAGCAAAAAGGACCTAGCTTCACAGCCATACAGTGGAATATTTTGCAGCTATTAAAAAAGAATGCGGCAGCTCTTTTTATATTTATTAAGGAAAGATCACTAAGATACATTATTAGGGAGCAAAACTCACGGTGCAGAACAGCGCATAGTATACTAGTATCTCTGTAAAAAGAAATACACATTTTGCTTGAATGTACATATAATATAGCTGGAAAGACATGAGAAATAATAGTGGTTGCTGGAAGGTGTGGGGGCGCGGAGGAATTTGAGTGGTTAGGAAACAAGGATGGGGGAGATGCTTTTCACTGTAAACTTTTCTTTTAAATCTTGTACTAGGTCAATGTATTATCTATTTGAAAAGAGTGAATCAAACTACTCTGGAGGCTGAATTGGGAAGATTGCCTGAGGATAGGAGTTCGAGACCAGCCTGGGCAACATAGGGAGACCTCCGTCTCTACAAAAACAAAAAAAATTAGTCAGGTGTCATGATGCATGCCTGTAGTCCTAGCTACTTGGGAGGCGGAGGTGGGAGGATCACTTGAGCCCAGGAGTTCGAGGCTGCAAAGAGCAATGACTGTGCCACTGTACTCCAGCCTGGGTGACAGAAATGTTTCCTTTTAAAAAAAGGAAATGGTGAATTACATTAAAAGCAAATTATATTAGCAATTTTGTGTGTAAGTTAAAAGCCACCTGCACAAGTACAGGTGGCTAGAAGCCAGAGTCCTTCCAGTGAAAGAGCCTGAGGGTTTAGCTGACCTCATGTGTGCTAGGTCCCATCTATGGCTGGGGCGGAGAAAGCCAGTGGGTCCCTAGCCACCACCCACAGCTAGACAGGGAGTGAGGGAGGCCCTCCCTGTGCCCACAGCTGGTCTGGCCACAGCCCCTGCGCTGCCGGGCTCACTCCCAGCTCCTGTGTTCTGGGAGAGCCGTGATCCAGGTGAGGCAGAGCCACCCGCAGAGCCATGAGGAGCAGGAAGTGCCAGGATCAGGTATGTGCTCCTGAAAGTGGACGGGGGAGGGGCGTCAGTGGACCGGAAGGCAAGGGAAGGGAAGGATGGCTACCTGCCTTCAAACATTCAGGGAAGTCAAACAGGGAAGAAGTACTGTTCAGAACCCGTTAGAAGACGCCGGGGTCAGGGTGGGGGGTGGTGAGGCCTCTCACCTCCATAAAGCACTTTCTGCCACTAGAAAGGTCCCCAGAATAACAGCAACTACCACGCGTTGAGCCCTCACTGCGTGCCAGGCACTTGGCTTGCCTGACGCTTTACTGGCATTACCCCTGAATTTCCCCAGCAATCCCAGGAGGGTGGGACTATTCGTATTCCTTATTTCACGACCGGGAAACGCGAGGCTGTCACTGCTTGAGATCACACAGCTAGTAAACGACCGAATCGAGATTCAAACCCAGGGCCCTACTCGGAGCTATCATGCTGCACCGTAGGCTGAGAAGACGACCTACACCCCTGGGAATTCTAAGACTGTGATTCGACAAAACACAAATATAAACATGGGAAGGCTAAGATAAGGCTGGGAGTTTTAAATTTTTTTTTTGCCGAGGTGTCTTGGGTACAAGGAAGACCAGGAAAGGTGGATTCTGAGTAGAATTTGAACCTCGGTGTCACCGTCCTCATCCCCGACCCCTCCTAGCCGCCCCCGCCCCAATGTCCCCTTCTCCAAGGGAATCTACTCACACCATCACACTAGCCCGGACGGCGGCCCACGGAGGCCGAGGAGGGGCGCACATCCCGCGTCCAGCAGCCCGAAGGCCGGGGGGCCCCCGCTGCTCCCCGGGTTGGCGGCGGCACGAGCAGCAGCAGCGGCGGAGGGCGGTGCCGCAGCGCGGAAACCCCGACGCCCCGAAGCCCCTTCCGCTGGGAACCAGCCCCTCGGGCTGGGAACGCGGGAGGAGGTGGCGCCCGCGCGGGGAGGCCCCAGACGCCGTGGGCGGGCGGCTGTGCGCGCCAGGCTGCGTGGGCGCGGGGGCGGCGGGGGGTGGGCCGCGGGGCGGCGCGGGCGGGGGCGCGGGGCGGGGGCGCGGCGGCGCCGTCTGTCGGCGGCGGGGGCGGGCGCGGGGGTGCGGGGAGCGGCGGGCCTAACCGGCGCGGGCGGGGGGCACCCGGGCGGCCGCCTCCCTTGCCCGCGCCGGACTGAACAAGCAGCCGCCTTCCTCAGCCGGGCGGGCGGCGTGGCGGGGGCGGGGGGCGCACGGCTTCCCCGCGCCGGGGTGCGGGTCCTCGCCGTCGCCCCCGCGAGGAAGCGCGAGGCTGGACGCTGGGAGGGGGCGCGTGGGCCGGGAGATTCCTTCTCGTCTGCCTGCTGCTAGCCAGCCCGCCCACGCAGCCGAGAGCCCGACTCCATGTTCCCTCCCCACGGAGGCGCCCTGGGCGCGCGCACAGAGGAGAGGCTTTCCCCAGGCTGGGCCGGCCAAGGTCGGGGGCGGAGGGACTGAGGGACACCCCAGGGAGGCCGGCTGCACCCGAGCCCTCCCGTCCTGCTGCTCCCGGGTTTTAGGCATTCATGGTCGGAGGAGGCCGACTGGAGATTTCTAGGGTCTTAGATGTGGAAGTCCTTGCAGAATTTACCTCATTCTGCCCCAGGGCCCCCGGGCGTCTGCCATCTTTTGTTCTTGAAAGGGAGAGAGCCCCCTACCCTGAGCCAGCTGGAGCGCCCTTTCTGTGGCTCTCGTCATTTAGAAGCCTTTTTTCATATCTAAGCTCGGTCCTTCCTGCTGCGGTAACCCCCAGACAGCTCTGCTTTGCCAGACTTGGCGACCTGGTAGAAGGGGGAAGAGGGAGGACCAAGAATGTCCCCATTGAGCAGGAGGGGAAATCGAGGTCCAGAGAAGGGGAGGGGTTTGCCTCAAGCTTATAGTTGGGGGTGTGTGAAAAAGGTGCTGACCTCAGTACTCAGGAGTTGTGGCTTCTAGGTCAGAGTCCAGCTGCTTGAAAAGATAATATTCCTCCCTGGTGCTGCCCAGCGCAGTGCCTCTACCTGTCACTGGAAATCCCTTTGGCCTTCTCTGATGGGTTCTTATCATGCGTTAAGTAGCATCAAGAATGTCAGAGATGCCAGATGATGCCCATTTGGAAGCATCCAGGGTAAAGACCAGGCTATGCACAGGAAGCACAGAGGCCAGACCCAAACAGGAAATTCCCACTCGCTTTGCAGAGTTTTTGTTGCTGCTGTTTTTAAATAATCATTGGTTGATTTGATGCATTGAATGAAAATTGTGGTGACAGGAATCATTCATCAGGGAAGAAATTGTAGAACTCCCTTGTCTCTCTGCCTGGGATGGGACGTGCATTCCTGATTGGAGGCAAGTGGTTGGCTGGTTTGACCTGGTGCATCCAAAGTCCTGAGAGATCATTGGCGCCAGACCCTGGCCTCAGCTAGGCGGAGATATCCTGCAGGGAAAATCACACGACAGCTTTCTGTGTGTCTCACCGCCCTGTGCCTGAGCTTCCAAACACTATGTCTCCATAGAATTCCAGTGACACGGCCCCTGTACCTGGCCCCTTCCACACAGCCTTCTTCCCAGGAGCTCAGTCCTCGGGGGCCTGGTCTCCTGCATGCTCCAGACAGAGTGGGTATGGAGATATGGTGGATTTGCCCCATTTTACAGAGGGGAAGACCCAGGAGGACCTGGCTAGCCAATGGAGATGAAACACTCCACGCAGAGAAAGGAAAAGGAACCGGGAGTGCTGATGGTGTGACCAGGCCAGGGTTCCCTGGGAGATACTGAGATAAAGCTAGGCTGATCTGTGCTGTGAAGCCTATGCATCTGTAGTATAGTGTGGGTTGTCCTCCAACTCCCCCAGCCCAAGTCAGTAACACACAGTTGTCCATGCAGAGTCGTGCCCACTCAGGTCCACAAACGCCTCCACGCCACCTGCTCACCCTCTTGTCACAGTATTGACACTTCCCTGAACAGAGCTGATCCTGCCTGGTTGAGAAATAGGATTAAGGGGCCTGGAACCTGGGAGCTGCTTGTTCCTGATCCCAGAATCCAGCTCTTCCCGCTCTTTTCCCCCAGAGATATGGCCACAATGCAAGCCTCCTTTCCCTCCTGCCTTCGTAGGCCCGTTGCCCGTTTCTCACTCCACCTGCTGACAAGGCCGTGCTTGTGTGTGTGCACACGCATGTGTGATGAAACTCTCTCTGCAGAGTTATGTTCTTAATGCAGCTTCCTGGGCTGACAGACTGGTCAGAGGCTGGGGGCAGAGGGAGGAGAGGGCTCTCCTTGCTCATAGCTAGGATTGGGGTCGGTTCTGTTTATTGCCAGGGGCAGTATTGCCCTCACCTCTCATCCCTCTCACACCCCAACCAGCCTGAAGAGCTGAGCCTCCGAGTCCAGCTTTCCACATGGGCTCAGCTGCAGGACAGTGAGCTGTGCTGTTGGACCCAAGCACAGCTGCCGAGGGGTCCTCCCTTCTGCCCAACTCTTCCTCAGCCGTGATACCACAACCCACCTCCACTCAACAATCTATGAGCCTGCCTGGGCCCTACAGATGGAGAGTTTATTTATTCAACCAGTATTTATCATGCACCTTCTAGGTGTTGAGTTTGACTCTCTTCCCCTATCCCTTCAGGCTCGTGCGACACCAACCTCTGCTGCCTGCCAGCTCTTCCTGCCCACATCTTCCTGCCCCATAGCAAACCCCAACAGAGTCATGTCACATTTCACCATCCAAAAAATTATTTTAAGATCCTAGAAAGGAGCAAACAAGCTTATCACACATCATCATGCTCTTTAACTTCTTGCTTTATGACTTCCACGCATGAAGTTCATCGGGAAAGTATCCCTTCTACAACCCAAAGACTTACTGTTCCGTGACAAGTCAGTGGAAGTGCCCTGTGTCCCTCCCTTTTCCTTATCAGGGCCAAACAAGGCAATTCCAATTCTCTGCAAAATTTAGTTGAGCTAAAAATACATTTAGACTCTGAACTGCCTCCCTCATGAGCCCTTCAGCTCCTTAGCAGTCTCCTTCCCTGGCCCGTAGTTAACCAGTGCTACCACAGTACCCTCCCCTCTTACCAAACCCTGCTCTGGGAAATTGCTCAAATAAACTCTTTCCACTCAAGTCTGAAAGACTGATAAGGCTACATGTGTTGATTTTTCCCCCTTCCTAGGAAAATTTGCGTTTAAACAAGGAGGATAACCTTGAAGTACCTAAAGTCATCTCCGGCTGTGGAATTATTAGCATAGTTGAGATATTCTGGAAAGCTGAGAGACCTCCCTGGGGTTACGGGACTAGCTGTAAGTTTGGCCTTGCACACCCGTGAAGCAGCCCTGACTGGCTGTTTTGGTCCATCATCACATAATGTTGAGAGCAGTGGATGAAGAGTTAAGAGAATCTGAGCTGTAAACCTAGTTCTGCCACTAACTAGTTTGGAAGCAACAGTCACTTCCTTCTCAGGCCTTAGTTTTCTCATTTGCCAAATGAGAAGTTTGAACAGGTTACCTTGAAGAATCCTTCTAGCTCTGGTATTTGGTTAACTCCCCAAAGGGGCTAGGAGACCCTGTCCCAGCTCCTAAAAGCCTCTAGCCCCTGAAGCTGTGGCTTCGAGGGAATGGTCTGCTGCCAGCACAGAGCATGGGGCCCTTCTCTGGGCAGGGACTTGGACAGGCTGCCCACATGACCTCTGTCCATAGCAGCCCACCTGCCAGGGAGAAAAGGTGCTGCTCAGCACACACACGTCTTGAAGAGTTACATAACCCTCCCAGATCCCTTACTGCAACCAAAGAGCAACAACAAAATAGTCTGTCCTCCACCCCCACCCCAGCACACACACATCAGCAGCCTCATAGTCACAAACACCCCGGGAGAGAATTTTAGAAGGCCACCATCTTTTCTTTTTCTTTTGTTTTCATTTTCCTGGAAGATATCTCATGTAAGAAAAGTCTTTACGAGAAGAAAACCCACAAACACCCATCAGGCTTCTTAGTCCCTCCCTGCTGTTCTTTTCAGCTTTCTGACCTCATAGTCCT